AACATAACTTAACAGTGCTGGCACCTAGTAAGCATTTAATAAATTTCAGCATTGTTATTATTACTTCGATGAGGCAAGCAATGTGCTAATCTCTAGGGATAAAAAGAATATGGCAGAATTTCTTTTTTAAAAAACATATTTTATTGATTTTTTACAGAGAGGAAGGGAGAGTGATAGTTAGAAACATCGATGAGAGAGAAAATCGATCTGCTGCCTCCTGCACAAACCCCACTGGGGATGTGCCCACAACCAAGGCACATGCCCTTGATTGGAATTGAACCCAGGACCCTTCAGTCTGCAGGCCGACGCTCTATCCACTGAGCCAAACTGATTTTGGCAGGGCAGGATTTCTTTAAAAGCTCAGTATTTCATTTATTTAAATGTTTTTATTGATTTTTAGAGAGAGAGGAAGGGAGAGAAATAGAGGACACATCAGTGATAGAAACATTGATCGCCTGCCTCCTGCACGCCCCCTACTGGATCCAGCCCACAACCCCATCATGTGCCCTGACTGGGCATTGGAATTGAACCAGGAACCTCTTGGTTCTTGGGTTGACACTGGCTGGGTGAAAGCTCAGTATTTTAGAGAGCTGTTATGGAGCAAACAAGTATAAAAACATAATTATAAAACCACTTAATAAGTGCTACAATATAGGTATGAAATGGGTGCTCTGTAAAGTAAGGAAAAGAAAAATCAATTTTTCCAGAGACAGGACAGAGAAAATAATACACTGAGTTTTGAGGATTGAGAGGAGCACCATGAAGGGCTTGGTATGTTTGAATCCCTCTGATGTGAGTAGGTTCAGGATTGTGAAGGATTCTACCCTGTTTCCCCGAAAATAAGACAGTGTCTTATATTAATTTTTTCTCCCAAATTTGCTCTAGGTCTTATTTTCAGGGGATGTCTTATCTTTCCATGAGCTAGGTCTTATTTTCGGAGGATGTCTTATTTTCGGGGAAACAGTATATATCATAAAAGTGAGTTTTAAAAAATGTTTTTATTCATTTCAGAGAGGAAGAGAGAGGGAAAGAGAGATAGAAACATGATGAGAGAGAATCATGCATTGGCTGCCTCCTGGGGATCAGGCCCACAACCTGCGCAGGAATCAGGAATTGAACCCTGAACCCCTGGTACACAGGGCGACAATCTTCAACCACTGAGCAACACTGGCCAAGCATAAATGAGTTTTAATTGATCTGAAAGTCACCAGGACTAGAGATAGGGGGAGTGGTGAAAGAACGGACTTGACATAATTAGATTTGAGGGAGGAGTGGTGAAAGAATGGACTACAATGAGCAGAGGTCATGTCCAGAGTTCAGATAAAAGATGATGGCCTGCTCTTTGGGAGGATGGAGACATCAATTTAGAAATAATTTATGACATAGAATGAACTGAATTCAGTGACTTCAAAAATTAGGAGCGAGGAAGGGAGGAAGTTCTGGGTGACGTCTTGAGACTAGTAGCTGGTGATACCATGATTTTAATAGGGTCTATTGGCAAGGGGATCATTTGAGGCAGTTGGGAAGGAAAAGAGAATGAGTTTCTTTGGGGTGTTCGGGCTGCCTTACTTTAGGAGTTAGTAACACAGATGTAGTTGAAGCTGTTAAAATAGATATCAGCCAGGGAGACTGTAGAGACTCTGTAAATGACTATGATAAAGATTTTTGTAAAAATGAAGGAAAAAAGTTACAAAATTTGCATATGGCTTAAGAGGGGGTATAGTTGCACAATCCGTGCACCAGGGCAATAGTAAGTTTATCCCTTCTTTGGTTTATCTCTTCTCCTTTCCACCACACACACACACACACACACACACACACACCAAGATACGTCAGGCTATTCCATGCCTTGGGTCTTATTTTGTTGGTCAATTCATTTTGATGACTAGATTCCACAAATCCACAAATGTGATATTTGTCTTTCTCTAATTGGCTTATTTCACTTAGTATAATAGTATCTAGGTCCATCCATGCTACCTCAAAGGGTAAGAGATCCTTCTTTTTTTTTTTTTTTTTTTTTTTTTTTAAATATATTTTATTGATTTTTTACAGAGAGGAAGAGAGAGGGATAGAGAGCTAGAAACGTCGACGAGAGAGAAACATCGACCAGCTGCCTCCTGCACACCCCCTACCGGGGATGTGGCCGCAACCAACATACATGCCCTTGACCGGAATCGAACCTGGGACCTTTCAGTCCGCAGACCGACGCTCTATCCATTGAGCCAAACCGGTTTCGGCGAGATCCTTCTTTTTTAATGCTGCATTGTATTCTATTGTGTAAGTGGAATACCACTGCTTTTTTATCCATTCACTTACTGTGGGGCACCTGTGCTGTTTCCAAATCTTAGCTATCCTATATAATAAAAGTCTAATATGCAAATGATGTGCACTGACCACCAGGGGTCAGATGCTCAATGCAGATGCTCAATTCAGGGCTGCTCAGCCAGAAGCCCGGCTCACTAAGGAGCAGCCAGCAGGCGGGCGGTGAGGAGCTAGGCTCCTGGACTGTGAGAGGGATGTCCGCCTATTGGCTGGTGGACATCCCTAGGGGGTCCCAGACTGCGCAGGCTAGGCTGAGGGACACCTCCATCCCCCTTACAATAGCACAAAATTCTAGTTGTAAATATTGCTGCTACAAACATAGGGTTGATTATATTCTTTCTGATTGGTGTTTCAGGGTTTAGGATATTCCCAGAAGTGGTATCACTGAGCCAAACAGCAGCTCCATTTTTTAATTTTTTGAGGAAACTCCTACAGTAGGTCCTTGGGTTACGAAGATCCGTTCCTATGGTGCGATATAATGCGATTTTCACCTTAAGTTGGAATCCACCTACATAAAGCACCTACGTCACTCACATGGAGCACATACACAGCAGTGATAAAGTGAAACAAAAAAAAAAAATTAAAAGAAAGATAATTCCTGACCTTTACTTGTGGTAAATGAATAATAAAAACATAAAGCACATATGTACATGTCGAAATGATGGAACTTTTTTTTTTTTTAATAAATGGGAGATGGCGATGTAACTATGAAACCGTGTACATAACCCGAGGCCTGCCTGTGCTGTTTTCCATAGAGCTGCACCAATCTGCACTCCCACCAGCAGTGAACTGGTGTTCCCTTTTCTCCACTTGCTTTTCGTTGTATTTTAACAAGAGATCCTTACTCTGCTAGCCTAACAAAAACAGCTGGAGGATCATGAAAGACACCTTAAGGAGTTTGGACTTTGTATGAAGGGTACAGGAGTGCCACTATAGGCATTTAAAAAGAGGAAAACATAACCAGACTTTCATTTTATAAAACATAAACCTGTGGCATTGTAGAGACTGGATTAGAAATGGACAAGATTGCAGCCTGGAAAACTTAGTTTTGGTTATGTGGCTAAAACAGTACGCAAGTCCTAAAATAATGGCTTGAAACTAGACAATAAAGAGGGATTGGAAACTTATGGGAGATATGGAACTAGAAGCAAAAGGACTCAGCAATGGATTGTAAGTGGTGGACAGAAGAAAAAGGAAAAAAAAATCACATGTCATCACAATAAACTGTACAGGTTCCTATCGGTCTGTCAAAGCCTTTCAATTTGACATCCAAAATGAAGTCAAAGTCGTGGCCTGAAGCTCTCCTTTCCTCCAGTTCTCCCCCACCCCCCGATTCGTTTTAAAATCTAGGTTTTTTATATACTTAAGATCCACCTCCTGGCAATCTGGAACTAAGCTTCTGAGATTGCTGTGAATTATTTCCTTTCTTGGTTTCTCTTCCTCTTTCTTATTTCCCTATATGGTCAATGTTTTAGTTGTATCCTAAAATATCTCATCATACCCTTTCCACCAAAAGAAGTGCAAGACCTGAATATCTGAAACTTGTCTCGTATCAGAATTTTGTAGATTTCCTGAAGTTTTATAATTGCTACTCGGACATATTGCAGGAAAAAAAAGTATAATTCTCATATGTAGGTATCTATTGCCTCCTCCCCCGCCCCCCGTGGAGACATCGAGCATTATAGAAAAAAATTACCATTATCTTTTTTTTTGCAATGTGACATCTAATGCATTTCCAATTCATATATATACACACATATATACATATATAATACATATATATTATTTTTTAAAATTGATTTTTGTACAGAGAGGAAGGGAGAGGGATAGAGGGTTAGAAACATCCATGAGAGAGAAACATCGATCAGCTGCCTCCTGCACACTCCCTACTGGGGTTTCGCCCGCAACCAAGGTACATGCCCTTGACCGGAATCGAACCCGGGACCCTTCAGTCCGCAGGCCGACGCTCTATCCACTGAGCCAAAACAGTTTCGGCACCATTTTATTTTCTTTCAAGACGCTTCTTTTAGTCTGTAAAGGCAATATAGGTTTTCATAACATTCAATTTGCACAGCCACTTCATCTTTAATTCTCAAATGTGACTCATCCGTATGTCATGTACAGAAACAATAACATTTAGACGACAGAGACGATCGCAGCTTTAATAAATAAATGGAGGGCGGCGGAGGCCCAGGAAATACCACCTTTTCTCCTGGGACGACCCCCCCCCCCTTTCCCAAAGCAGAACCCCAAGTTTGTGGCGCAGGAAGGGACTCCCTCCCCAGGCGGCCCAGCCCCAGCCCCTTGGACGGCAGCCGCGGGCGCCCGGGCCTTTGCTCTGCGACAGCCCCTCCTCGTCCCACCCCGAACCTGTCGGGGTCCCGGCCCCCCGATCGCCGGCGTCCCCCCGCCCTGAGCAGAAGCCGCACCGTCCCCGTCCCGCCCGGAAACCCACAGCGGAGCAGGCCCTGCGCAGGGCGGGACCCGGACCCAGCCAGGCCCGCGGCGGCCCCTCCCCACCGCTGCGCCCACCCCGCGCCTGAGGGGGCCCCGGGGGACAGAGGGGGACGGGGCGGGGCGGCCCCGGGCGCGAGCGCCCCCTCCCGGAGCGCGGCCCCGCGCCCCGCCCGCCCCGCCGGCCGCCCGGCCCGCCCCGGCCCGCGCCCCCGCCCCCTCGGGCGCTCCGTAGCCGTGACGTGCGCGGCGGGGCCGGGGACTCGCGGGGCGCCGGCCGGCGGGCGGAGACGGACCGGGGATCGGTCCGAGCAGGAAGCGAGGAGCAGCCTGATCGCCGCCCCAGCCTCCGCCTCCGCCCCGTCCCCGCCTCGGCGCTCAGCCCGCCGGCGCGCACCGCCCTCCGGCCTCCGCGGACCCGGAGCCCCTCCGCGCGCACCTGCCTCCGAGCGCACAGGTGAGTCCCCGGCCCCGCGCTCCCCCGCCCCGAGGTCGCCAGGGGCCCCGGCCCCGCTCTGCTCCCGGGACCCCTTCGGCGCCGCAGGGCGGGGCGCCGGGCTGGCCTCGCCCCCCGGGCCCGGGGGCCCCGCTCCCGGCTCAGCATCCCCCGGGCGCCTCGGCGCGCCGTCCCCGCGCCCAGGCGGACGCGAGTCACGCCGGCGTACCAGGGTGACTCTGGACACCTCGGGGGAGTTTTCTCTTCGGTAAACAAACCTAAATGCAACGCAGGAATCATGTTTGTCCCGGGCTTGGGGACCAGCTGACTAAGAGTGTAATCATGCGGGCGATCAGGCTGGGACGGGCGCAGTCTGCACTCTGCAGCCGTCAGGTGGACCCGTCCTCGGAGTATGGTAATTGGTAGGTTACCCAACAATAGCTTTCTGTGTGTTTGTGAATTGACAAGACTCCGTAAAAGCCGTGGAGAGGCTCCATTCTGGGATTTTTTTTTTTTTGAAATAGGAAGTAAGTTTCATTTCGGGAACACCGGTTAGGTGGACCAGTCCTTGGAGTGTGTTAGTTTGTAGGTTACCCAACAATAGCTTTTTCCCCCCCCCTGTATTTATTAATTGACAAAACTCCGTAAAAGCCATGGAGAGGCTCAATTCTGGGATTTTGAAATAGGAAGGAAGTTTCACTTCGGGAGCACCTGTGTCAGGGATGGGCATTCGGTTTCAGAAACATGTTGTCTTGTACCCGAAGTGAAGGTGGAGACGCGCCTCGGCCCCGAGTCTCCAGGGGCCCGCGAGGCGCTGGGAGCGCGGCCCCAGCTTCGCAGACTTGCCTGCCTCGTGAGCTAAGTTCAAGTTTCCCTTGCTATAACACGCTCTGGCAGTGTAGATGCGGTCTATCTAAATGTAGTCAGGGTCTGAGAGTTTAAAAAACAACAACTCACATTCTTAAGATTTAGCTAACACTTATTCACACCATGAAACGTGAATCTTGAACTTGGGCTGGTAATGGCCATGGTACAAAGGTTGGCCGCAAAAGGGCACTTCTGTACAAATTAACTCAACTTCACAGATGTCTTGGGTTGTGGTTTTCAAACTGGAAATTGTTCAGTGAAAAAAAAAATTACCTTGGTGTCTTTTATCATTCGCTTTAGGAACACTACAAATGGAGCTACGTAGCCAGAGCATGGAACAATGCAACTGTTCAGAATAACTCATTGACTTTTAAATAGCCAGCTCATTCGGAGTAGTTTCAGTTGCCCGGGAATTACATGCTCAGTGGGAAAACAGAAGTCATTTTAGGCTTGGGCAGATTTCCCTGTTGCGTTTGTATGATCTATGTGGCATGCCATGTATTGTCCTCCCAGCTTTTTAAGTTACACTTTTGTTTGCAAAAACTAATTTTAAAAGGGAGTTACGGAAGTGATGAATGACTTTAAGAAGAGATAATCATGATTAAAAAACTCTTTATATCATATATACTACCATATATATATATATATATATATATATATATATATATATATAACAAATACATTTTTCATGAGTATGTACAAATACAAGTAAGAAAAATGCAATAAGATATTGCAACATGTAATGTAAGTTAATATGAGGTATTAAAAACAAGATCATAAATCGTAACCCATGGGGCTTATCTGAGATGGATTTTTTCATCTGTTTGTGTTTATGTGATCAAGTTTTAAAATAACAGTGGTCAGGAAATCTGAGAGGCCGAAGGCTCTTTTCTCATCCTGTTGTGACTTTGCCTGGAGACTGTGGTGTATCATGTAGCCCATTGTTTAGACAACTGGGCTGTCTCCACACAACTTTCTTCAGAAAGTTTTAGAACTTTTGACCATGGAAGCACCCGAAACATTTTTGGAAAAAATTATACCCATTGTCACTCTATATTGATAATTGAATCTTCATTGTCGATATGAAAAGCTCAGTTTTTAAAAGATTTCCAACCTTTGTGCATTTTTCACTTCTCTATGTTAAAATTTTTTAAGCCAAAAGTTGAAAAAAAGCATTGCAACTTTAAGAAGTTTCAGACAAGTTAATTGTGATCCCCCTTAATGGGATACTGTGAACTGGCCCTTCAGGAGGATCAGACTGTCACCCATTTATTAGGCCTCTGCCATAATCAGAGCACTAACTGAGGGACTTGATGTACAAAATATTTCAAGGTTGGTGGTCTTGTCCTCCTGCACATGAGGAAGTTTAGGCTTATCTCTAAATATTAAATATTTACTCAAAGTCATGTAGCAGCAGAAGGACAAAGGCTGGATTCACACCCAAGTCTTGAGACCCCTTTCCTTGCAGACAGACCAGACAGGTTGCCTTGATCTCAGTTCATTTGGTAGCCAGTTTAAATAAACCTGCAGCGCTGACCTTGTGCTAAAGAATGTGGCTTGAGGGCTGAAGAAGGCACACGTGAGTGCAGATGAGATAGGCCAGGAATGTGGTTCTGGAACTAATTTTGAATTCTGCATCTGTTTCTTAAGATGACAGCCTTGAACAATAGTAGGATGTTGCTTTATCATTTCTGGTGTAAATTCCAGAATACTGTACATATTGTGCACTTTTTATTTTGATAGGTTTATAGGAACTAGAATTAGGCTGCAATCTAACACTGGCTTTTATTGTTTTTTTTTTTTAAATATATATTTTATTGATTTTTTACAGAGAGGAAGGGAGAGAGATAGAGAGCTAGAAACATCGATGAGAGAGAAACATCGACCAGCTGCCTCTTGCACACCTCCCACCGGGGATGTGCCCACAACCAATGTACATGCCCTTGACCAGAATCGAACCTGGGACCTTTCAGTCCGCAGACCAACGCTCTACGGCTGAGCCAAACCGGTTTCGGCAAACACTGGCTTTTATTGTAGCTAAAATGAATAATATGTTACTGCTTAAAGAGAACTTAAAAATTCTCCTCAAATTAGACAGATTGTTACCTGTACATGCTATAGCTGTCTTTAAATGTTATATAACTCTCTAATCCTGGGGCGGGGGTGGGGGAGACTTGCTTTCAGATTATGATTAAATTGTCAACTGTACTACTTGGACATTTAAAAAAAATTTGCTTGTTAATTTAGATATGGCTCATGTTTATTTCAGAAATGTTCCTTGAGTTATAATAACATAAATGAGAACACAAAGTTCATCTTTTGTAACAAAGTAGGAGTCATTTCAGCGGTGGACTGTAGTTAGATAAATGATAGGAAGAAAAATGATAAAAAGACTGAGTCGAGTGACTACTTTTACAGGTGTTTCATAATTTGGTTTGAACTATTAAGAATTTTGCATCTTGAGGGTACTCCACCATATCTCAATAACGCAAGGATACTCAACTGTAAATACAAAACCATCATCCAAGGGCTTAATATAAATTATTAATGGATGGTCTGTAATACACCTGTGTGTGTGTGTGTGTGTGTGTGTGTGTGTGTCTGCAGGTATAGATAATCAAGAACTAACTAAATTTAAATAAGATTAAATTTTATTTTTGAGGCATTGTAGAGTATTTTGAGGAACCAGACCATTTTACATTTAAAAACAGTTATGGTTTTATTTGACAAATGTAGAGGACTGTTAATCATCTTCACATATAAGTATTAGACTATTTTCCTATTCATGGTTTTCAAAAATAAACTTTTTTTCTTATTGATTATTATAAGAATGGCATAATGGTTTAAGAAATTACCACAAGTCCACCAAAATCCCTCCCTCTGAGTACTGTAGCATAGGAAGTAAAACCGGAAGAACGAATCTGGCATCTTGAGAAGTCTTACTCTGGTGTTGAAGAGAGGGCAGTCCTTTTCTATGCAGTGAAACCGAAGTATTGCAGCACATTCACATAGGTCACTGTTCACATCCACCCTGCCTAATGTACACAGAGGAAGGCGATGCTCCTGAGAAAACCACAGGCGTCTTTTAGGTGTGTAATGTCACTTGCTACTTTAAAGTAACCTGTTGCTTACACTTTACAAGGCCAGGGTAAAGTATTGCATGTAGCAGAATCTAAAATTTCTGTTCAAGATGGATGAGCATCTTTTTCAACCAATATTTATTGATGGCCCACTGTGTTTGCAACATGACTGTAGGTGAGAACTGGATCTACTCTGTGCTGGCAGATCTTTGGGTCTAGGAGGTAGAAAGAGTGGCAGAGACATAAAAAAAAAAGAAAAAAGAAAAAAAAAAGAAAAGAAACATTCATTTAAAATCTGAAGATGTTAAAGGTTAACATACCTTTGTATGGTGCTTTGATGTTTTGGAAATTAGTTTATGTGTATTTGGTCCTTAAAACAACTCGATGAAGTAGATGTGGTAAACTTATTCCTATACTGAAGATGAGTCAGTAGAGACAGAAATTAAGTACCTGTTCAAGGTCACCTATTGGCTGCTTAGAAGCATAGCTGAGAATGCAACTTCTATCTGTGTATTCTGTAGAAAATCCCTCTTCCCCCAGTTCTCCGTCTCTTTGGTGCTAGTATGGTTAATCTCTTAGCAGTGCTTATTTCATTTCATGGCTTTAATTCAGAGGGTCACTGAAATGCTCATTGTTAAATAGTTTACATTTTTAAAGTAAGGTAGAATGATGAGGGTGATGTATCATGGAACCACTTTAATGTTTTAAATAGAATAATGGAGCCAAGGTTGGTAATTACCTTTTCTAGTTGAAGAGTTTTTAATGAAAAGTCAACAATTAGTTAAAAAGAAAGAAGAAAAAATGTTCTGAGGGAATTTTGAAAATAACTTACAAGTTATTGGCACATTGTTACTGATCTGGTGAGTAAACTTGTCTTTTGTAATAATGAGCTAAGGTGTAGCTTCATTGTTACCTTTATACCTTCATTCATTTAACAGATAGTTGAGTATTTACCATAGGCCAGGCATTGTTCGAAGTGCTGATGATGCAGCGATAAATTAAGACCAAGTTACTGTACCAAGTGACGTTTTATTATTGTTTTGAATTAAGGTAATTATAGGCTCTAGACTAGTA